CTCCAGAGACCCGACGGCCACCTGTTCCGCGAGTACCTGGCGTTCTGCCCGACCCAGGCGCTCATCGAGGCCATCGAGGAGGCGGGGGGCGACTGGGAGACCTTGTGGGTGCCCCTCTTCTGGATGGCAGGCGCGCTCCAGAGCAAGACAGAGGCGCTCAGCCAGTGGAGCTGGAAGCTTGTGGGCGCCTACATACTCGCCTCCCGCCGTCAAGATGCTCGAGACCAGCGCCGCCGCATAGCAGGTGACATCCGCGATGCGTGGGGCAAGAGGCAGACGGACGTAGCCTTCGCGCGCCTACGAGGTATGGGAATAGGCTCGCAGAAGCGCACGATGAGCAAGCCCCCCCCGGCGGCCAAGCTCCTCGACGGCGCATGCGCCACGTCGCAGGGGCAGATGGGGAACAGATGGCTCCAGCATTTTAGCCTCGTCGCGTTCGCAGCCGACGTCCCCGTCGCGGACTTCCACAGGCCCCTGCCGTCCTTCAGCGAGATAGGCAACAGACTGCCCGCGGAGCTAGGCCCCAGCTGTGCGCCGACACTTGCGGACATGGAGCGGGCAATGAGGATCACGAAGGACTCGGCCCCAGGAGTGGACGGGCTGATGGGGGGGCTCTTCCGCGCTCATCCGAGGACATTGGCGGCAGCATACCACCCGCTGGCAGCCAAGTTCGCCTGCACAGGGGCGGAACCAGCGCAGTGGCAAGGCGGCTTCTACAGGCATCACCACAAGAAAAAGCAGGCCGAGGAGTGCGGTAACCATCGGTGCTTCGCGGTCACGGCCATGGTAGGAAAGCGGGTCAGTCACTTCTACCGGGCAAGATTGGCCGCGTACATTCCGCAGGCCGTCGGCGACCGACAGTTCGGAGGGGTCAGGCGCCGAGGCACATAGCACGCGTCCGTCGTGACCAGGATGTTGCAGACGGCGGCGGCGGCCAACATGCTGACCTTCGCGGCCATCTTCATGGGCGTCAAGAGCGCGTTCTACTCCATGGTCAGGGAGCTGGTTTTGCGCACGCCCATGTCCACGGCAGACGAGGGCGCTCTAGCCGAGTCTACGGCTGTCCCGCCCACCGCGCTGGAGATCCTGAAGAAGAGGCTTGAGGAGGAGCCGCCGCTGCTCCACTGGACGGGCGCCAGCGATCACCTGAAGGCGCTGGTCGAGGAGCAATGCGCGGCCTCTTGGTTTGTCTGCGAGAGTTCGGACCATGTCGCGCTAGGCGCCAAGTCCTCAATCCCAGGGCAACCTCTAGCCGACCAGATCTACGAGATCGCCATGGTCGAGGCCATCAGGGTCTCAGAGGCGCGCATCGAGGAGGCGGGCTGCGGCATCTGCGTCACTGGAGCGAACGTCCGCTCCCTGGCGCAGCAGGTCGACAGCGACCTAGAGTTCGAGAAGATCCCAGGCCACAGCGTCGCCTTTGCAGATGATGGCACCTTCTTCTTCATCGGCAAGGCCGACGACGCGCTGGAGGCGGTCGAAGTCATCGCGGGCATCGTGCTCGACACGTTCGCCGTGTTCGGGCTCGCCCTCAACCTCGACCCTGGCAAGTCGGAAGTGCTCTTTGCCTTCGCTGGGCAGGGGGCCAAGGGTGCGAGGCGCGCCCTCTGGCACGAGTGCCACGGCAGGGTGCAGCTCAGGTCGCAGCACTACGAGGGGGCCACCATCCATGCGGTGCACACCCATGTGGCGCTGGGGACGGTCATCGACGACCACGGGGCAGTGCACCCCGAACTCTACCGACGTTCGGCCACGACAATCGCCTCTCTCAGGAAGCTGAGGGAAAAGGTTTTCCGCAGCCACCAGCTCGACCTATCCACCAAGATGGTCTTCGCGGACGCGCTGGTCTGTTCGTCGAGATGCTTCTCGCAGGGCAGCTGGCCAGGGCTCACGCGCGCGGAGGCCAAGTACCACCACGCCATGGTCATGGCCGTGTACAGAGCTGCCGTGGGAAAGAAGTTTGCCACGAAGGAAGACGGGGAGCTCGACCTCGACGCCTACCCCGAGGCCGAGGACGAGGCCTTGCTTGTCCGAGTGGGCCGAGCCCGGCCGGAGGACCTTTTGAGAGTCGCGCGGCTGCGGCTTTTCGGCGAACTGCTACAGGCAGGACCGCCGCTCGCCTTCGCGACGATGGCCCAGCTTCTGCTGAGGCCCCAGCATCCCAAGCGGCAGTCCTGGCCGCAGATGCTGATGGCAGACCTCCGCTGGCTCCAGGGCTACTCGGTGGACCTGCAGGACCTCCCTGATCCCAGTGACGAGCTGCGGCAGTGGGAGCTAATGATACAGCGCTCGCACAGCTCGTGGAAGTACAGGCTCAACGACACGCTCAAAGCGGCGGCGGCGCAGCTAAGCAGGGAGCATGCAGCACGCATGGCAGGGAAGCGCTTCTTCGCCATGGTGCAGCCAGCAGGAGTGCCATACTCCACGAGAGAAGGCAATCCATTCGGGCCCCCGAATACAGACGAAGCAGACGCAGCGACAGCACGCCAGTGGCCGTGCCCGTGGTGCCAGCGGAAGTTCCGTCGCCAGAAGGGGCTCAGAGCCCACGTATCCCAGCAGCACCGGACGATGGTCAGCATCGCACGCACATGGACGGCCACAGCTAGACAGTGGCAAGGCTGCCTGACCCAGTTTGACCAGACCCACCACCTCACCGAGCACCTGGCGATCGCCTCGCCCGCATGTCTCGTCGCGACCATCGAGGCGGGGGCTGCACCCAGTGACGAGGCGGACGAGCGACCGACAGCACTCCCACGCGGGCTGATGCGGAAACGGGTGGACATACCGGCCATCAAGGCAGCCGGGCCAATGCCAGACAGAGTGATGCTCCAACAGGACGTCGCCAAGACCGTGTTGCTGGAATCCGACTACGTGCTCGACGAAGGGGCCAGGGCTATGTTACAAGAAGGTTCAGAAGGCCAGGCTCCACCAAGGCCAACAGTACAGCATGCCGAGAGGTACGACTTGAACCAGTTCCGCACTGGCAAGTACGGCGGGGTGACCACGGAGGCGGCGATCCCGTGGAGGATCCAGCATGTGGAGCTCTTCGTGCTCAACCTGTTCTGCGGGCACAGGCGCCAAGATGACATCCAGCACGTGTTCGAGACTGCGCCGGCGTTTGAGGCGCTGTCCAAGCAGGTGCGCATCATGACTCTCAGCATCGACGTGGCGATCGATGCGCAGCGCTGTGACCTGATGCGGCACGACAGCCTGATGGTGTTCCACGAGGGCATCCTCAGGCGGCAGATCGTGATGTCGGGAGGAGGGCCGCCGTGCGAGACATGGAGTGCGGCGAGGTGGTCAGAGCTGCCAGGGCCGCCACCGCTCCGCTCCCACGACCAGTTCTGGGGAGTCGCCCACGCGACCCCACAGCAGCGCATCCAGCTCGCCGTGGGGAACACCCTGATGCAATCCATGGTGCTCCTGCTCGCGGCGCACCTGGTAGCGGGCACGGCGGGGTGGTCAGAGCACCCCGTACCATGCAGCTGGCGGCTGGCCGCCGTCACATCGTGGACGTGGGAGCCGTGGCTGGCGCTGCTGTCCGCACCGTGCACCACGACGACCGACTTCGACCAGTGCGAGCACGGGCAACTGAGCCGGGCCCCGACCAGGCTGTTCGGGCTCCGTATGGCCGGCCTGCACCGCCGCCTGGTCGCGACGCCCGGGGGAGGACAGTGCTCCCACGGGCGCGAGGCCCATGCCACGCTGCTCGGACGCGAGGAGGGTTCCAGGGCCTTCCGGACCGCGCGGAAGAAGGTCTACCCTCCGGGCCTCTGCCGCTGCATCGCGGAGAGCATTCTGGAGACGCTCGAATCGGCTCTCGATGCTGCGCTCCCTGAGGCTCCTAGTGGCGAATCACAGTCTCACCACCTCCTCGTGCAGGGCCTGGCTGACTTTCATGTCTCAGAAATCCCGGAGGTCGAGGAAGGGGCTAGGGCTTGGGCCCCGGATTTCGCGAGGGGGGCAGGCCGCAGCAGGCCGGACTCTGAAAGGGGCCGCTTTGAGGCCCCCCTTCCTCCTGCCCAGGACCCCCAGGGCCCCTCCCAGGATCCTGAGGCCGGCCAGGACCTCACGGGAGAGGAGGCCTACGCCGCTGAGGTGTTCGGAGTCTCTCCCCTCCTTTGTTCCCCGACTCCGCCGCCGCCTCCGCCTCTCCCCCCTCGCCCTACTCTTACCAACACCCAGCGGCGCAGGATTGTAGTGAATAAGGCCAAGGCCCAGCGGACACGGCACGAACGCCGCACGCCGTGGGCCTCCAGAGGCCTTGACTTGCGCCTCGCCTGGGGCGCCCCGAAGGGCTGCCCCATGCAGGTGAGCCCCCGCGGGGCTCGGGCTAGCCCGCCTACGAGTGGACCAGCCTGGGCCGAACAAATCTTCGGAAGGGCCTGACAGGGGATCGGGCCTTCCCTGCCCTCAACCTGGTTACAGGCCAGGTTCGAGCCAGCCCGATATAAGGGCCACTGCACGTCGTCATCGACAAGACGCAGAGTTCCACCACCACCTCCTGCCTCCCTCCTCCTTCTCCCTCCCTCCCCCTCACCGCCCCGCCTTTGCCACAGAGATCTCTGGAGGTCACCAGGGTTCCCTGGAGTTCTCTACAGGCTGGGTGAGGTCAATGAGAGAGAGAGAGAGAGCTCCTTCTCCTCCTCCTCCTCCTCCTCCTCCTTCTCCTCCCCTTCCTCCTGCTCCTCCTTCTCATCCTCCTCCTCCTTCTCCTTCGCATCCTCCTCCAGATGCCCGAACAAGCGATCTTAGATTCGAGAGATTCGTGATCCTCGGCCACGGGTGGCCGGGCGATCCCCGGGCGCACCTCCCACAGCCCTCTCCTCCACTGCGGCCTTCCACTCCAGGGCATTTTCGTTGACAACTGTCCCGGGGCGCGGGGGAAGGGCCCTGGAGGCCAAGGCCGGGGACAACACGCCAGCGTCGACAAAAATGCGCAGCGTCGGAGGTTTTGCTCTCGTCCCTGGCTGGCCCCGCCATCGGGGGGGGGATTGGTCCTGGTCGTACGCGTGGTACTTGAAGCTGCTCCAGTCTGGGAGGGCGCGCACGCGTGGAGTGTAGAGGGGAACACATCTTGAGAGGAGGAGGGGATGAGTTGGAGGAGAAGCAAGAGGAGGAGGAGGAGGAGGATGAGGAGGAGGAGGAGGAGAAGGAGGAGGAGGAGGAGGAGAGTGAGAGGAAGAGGGAGGATGACTGACCCAGCCACGCGCGGGGGAGGAGGAGGAGGAGGAGGAGGAGGAGGAGGAGGAGGAGGAGGAGGAGGAGGAGGAGGAGAGGAGGAGGAGGAGGAGGAGGTGGAGGAGGAGGGAAGAGGAGGAGAAGGATGAGGAGGAGGAGAGGAGGAGAAGGGGAAGAGGAGGAGGAGGTGGAGGAGGAGGAGGAAAAGGGGAAGAGGAGGAGGAGGAGGAGAAGGAGGAGGAAGATGCGGAGAAGAAGGGGAAGAGGAGGAGGAGGAGGAGATGGAGGAGGTGGAGGGGGTGGAAGAGGAGGGGAGGAGGAGGAGAAGAAGGAGGAGGAGGAGGAGGAGGAGGAGGAGAAGGGGAAGATGAGGAGGAGGAGGGGAGGAGGAGGAGGGGGAGTTACCCAGCCACGCTCGGGGAGGAGGTGGAACAGAAGGAGGAGGAGGAGGAGGAGAAGGAGGATGAGGAGGAGGGAAGGGCAGGGAAAAGGATAAGGAGGAGGAGGAGGAGGCGGAGGAGGAGGGGTAGGAGGAGGAGGAGGAGGAGGAGGAGGAGGAGGAGGAGGAAGAGGAGGAAGAGCACGGTCCCTGGAGCTGGGCTTCGAGCAGCCAGGGCAATGGCATCACGCTTGGCCGGCGGGCTCCGTGCGGGCAGCGCCCCGCGGCTGCCTCGCAGAGCGGGGCCCTTGGCCCGCCTGCGGAGACGTCATGCCGCCCCGTGCTCGTATGGGGGGGGGCAGCAAAGTGCTCGAGGCGACCAGTGCGGCAGGTTCCCGTCCTCCTCCTCCTTCTCCTCCTCGCACGTAGCCGCGGCGCCGCAAGTCTCCTTAGCCGCGACCGCCACGCCCGCGCCGGAGAGTGGCCCGTGCCTGAGGCACTAGCCCTTGAATTTGCTCGGCGGACAACGTGCCCTGCGCATTGAAGCGAGCACGTGCCAGGGTGTGAAGGATGTAAGCAGCAGCAGGAAGGTCCAAGACGTTCGGTCGGGGAGGGTCAGCGAGAAAGCCAAACAGAGCAACAGGACAGGATGGGAGCCCATAACCGACCACACGGGTCCACGACTGATGGAAGCAAGGACATTCAGAGAAGTAGTGTTTAAACGTGTCGCGGCCATCACAACCTAGAATACATTTCAAACGTGTCTTACTGTGCATGCGCTCCGACGTCGTCCAAGCAGCTGCGAGAGTTTTCCACACAGCTTGGGCGACATGGAAGGGGACTGCCTTCATCAAGGAGCAATATGTCTTCAGATCAACCACGGCAAATCTCGGACCCAGCTCGGGCCACACGGCGGACAAACGGGCACGAAATTGCTCCTCGAGGCAGGCAGGGTACAGGCTCTCGCGAATAGCTCTAACAACAGGGCCTTGGATTTTAGGACGAGCGGGAGCAGCGGCATCAGCAGCGGAGGCGCTCGAGGCACGCAGGAGGTCAAGGGCAGAGGAAAGTCCACAGGCACCTGCTTTCTTCCAAGAGCGGATCGAGGCAAATCCTTCAGCGGCGACTTTTAGGTTGACCACGAGCGGGTCGGCATCCCAGAAGCCAGGACTGAGGAGGCCACGCTTATTCGTAGCCAGATCCGCAAGAGCCAGCTCAGGTGTGGCCGCTTCGAGCTTTCTGTACAAGCTCCTCCATTCAGGAAAAGTAACTAGGGCTGAGCGCTGCAACGTGCCCAGCGACAGAGCTAGGATGGATGTCAGTGGCGGGCCACCCCACCTCTCCAATTCAAACCAGCCCGCTCGCGAGAGGCAGCAGAAAGGGACTTTGAACAGGGAAGAGAACAGAGCGTGCTCACAACGAAGCGTGGGGCTAGAAAGACAGGACGGCAAGAGAGGCAGCGGGAGAAACTGAGCAACGTAAGAGAGGACTGAGACACAACGCTTATTGTACAAGTAGGTTGTGATGGCCGCGGGGCAATTCGCAGCACAAGTCTGGGACGCGCGCCTCACCCACTTCAGAAGTGGGGCCTTCCAGCTACGATCTCCAGCAGCAGGACCAAGAATCACGCCCAAGTAGAGCGCCGCGTCGATGATCTGAAATCCAGCCCATTCTGGAATGTGAGCGTCCAGCCAACTGCGATAGCGGCCAGCCAGCTCTGGGGTGAAAGGACCTGCCAATGGAACTATGCAACACTTACGAATCTTCAGTTCGAGACCAGCAATTCTCTTACTCATATCGAAGATAACTTTGAACTCCCGCAGCATACTCAACTCATGAATGACGCCTCCAACATCATCAGCGCAAGCACGTGCCAAGCTGCGTAGACGCGAAGCCACCTCGATCCTCTCATGCATGTCTGCCAGGAAAGCGTGAGCCGCCAGAGCGTACAGCACACCAGAAGCCGGGCAGCCCTGGAGCACCCCACTCGTGATCAGGTAAAGGAGGACCTTCACATCAGCAGCAGCTCCATAGCATCGAATGTGATCATAGATAGCATGAAAGAAGAACAGCATGGGGCCAGGCAAGCGCAACCTCGCCAGGACCATGAACACCCATTCGTGCGAGATGGATGGGAACGCCTGGCCGTAGTCATATGTAACGAGAGCAGGTAGCTTGAGCAATGGCGAAGGAGCCGATGAGACAATCCGAGCTTGTGTGTCCATTTCCAGAATGTTGACGCCGAAGTCTCTGCCTGGAACGAAGCCCCGCTGTATGAAGTGGACGAACTTCGAGGTGGCCTTCCCGAGGCCATGCACGACGACCGACGTGAGCACCTTGTTCGAGGTGTTCTTGAGCCCCAAAGGCCTCGTGGAGGACGCCTCTCTCGTGATGGACCCGTCCAGGTCACCTTCCTCAGAGCCTTTCGGGATGAATACTCCTCGGATCTCATTGAAGCTCCCATAGAGATGCTGCCCAGAGAGAACCCACCAGAGTGCTTTGTCCAAGACCACCGCCCCATATGGGTGATAACGCCAACCTGCATAGGGGACCCCGTCAGGACCTGGGGCACTGTTTACCGCACGCTCCAATTTTTGTTGAATGTGATGTTGAGTCGGTGGCGGGAGGTCCTGAAGAAGAGAACATTGAGGAGCAAACTTATCCAGGTATTGTTCAGCTGCCGTTCTATCGATCTCACGAGCTCGAAAGACCTGTGACCAGTACTCTGCGAGTCGGGCTAGTTTTTCGGCAGGCGACGTGCTGACCCCTCCAGCATGTCGAACAGCGGCAAGGGACATCCTGCGGTCGAAGGGCGACCACAGTCGTGCACGGGCAACCACGCCTCGGAGACGACGACGGAGCTTACTCTTCTGGGTCTCATCTTCTGCTTTAGACAGCCTCCTCTTAACCTCCCCCTCCTCCTTGTCAGCTATCTTCTTATGGGTCTGGTAGGTGTCCAGAAGGTACTCATTGGGGGCCTTGAGGGAGACCTTCTGGGAGATAGGATCTAGCTCCAAGTACTTGTCTCCGAGGGGATGCGATCCTAAGATACGACCAGCCAGAACCACGTCCTGGCGCCAGACAGCACGCGCGATGCTCTTGAGCACCACGTGCCGAGCGAACAGGTCGCCTGGGAAGCGCCTGATCAGCAGGTTCCTAACGTGCCTAGCAGCCTCCCTGATCATCCGAGTGTGGAAGTCCAGAAGCATGGGCGGGGTCATATATTCGTCTTTGGCAAGGTCCCAGATACGCTCCAGAAAGATCCGAAACTCAGGATGTCCGCAAACCGTTTTTGGAATCGGGATATCTTCCACAGGACGCGGAGGGCTGCTGGACAACTGGATAAATACAGGCGCATGGTCCGACACCTCCTTGGCGTCCAGGACCTCGGCCATCTCCAGACACTGTCCTGCTACATAAAGTTGATTCATCACCCAACTCGGGAATGAGACGAAGCAGCGGTCAATATATGTAAGAAGATGCTGTGCGCTATGATGATGTGTGGGGTCGGGTACCTGAAGTTCCAGGAAGTCCTGAAAGAGCCGATTCCAAGGGCCATCCCTTTGTGAAACCCATTCTGTGAAAACCTCCGAACGCTCCCCAGGATGATCCAGGATGTGTCTGGGAGGCTCAGCGCCGATGTTAAAGTCTCCGATGACAACCACTAGCCGCGAGAGCGGCTTCTCATCAGCCTCTCGCCGCAAAAGGCTGATGGACCTGAACAGCTTCCTCCTCTCCTCCGCCGAGAACCCAAAATTGTGGATATTGAAGTGAGAAATCCAGGTATCAGAATCAAAAACGATGTGAGTGAGGAGAGCCCGACCCTCGATCACCTCCTCCGAGTAAACGTGCGGCGCATTCACTCCTAGGTGCGAGAAGTTGGGGGTCAGCGTCACCACCCCGCCGGCGGCCTGGCCACGAAGGAAGGAGAAGTGAGCTGTGAAGGGGATCCGAGAGTGATACAGGAAGTCATTCAGCTCGGCCTCAGTCCCATGGCATTCCTGCAATGCACAAATACTGCCCGCTCTAACATACTTCTTGAGGTACGAACACTTGAGCGTTCTCTTGTGGGTCTTGCTGTGAAAGAGCGCGCGGGTATTCCAGGACAGCAACTGTAATGGCCAATCTGAACCATTGGGCCCTCTCCAGGCCTGAAGTAGATTGTTAAACTCGCCACTCATCCTGACTGGGCTGGATGAAGCAGTTGCGCAACCTCGCATCCAACTCCCCCTTGTCCAGTCCAATCTCCCGCAGATTCTCGATACAATAACTAAGCTGAGGAGGCTGGTCACCAGGAAGCGGCACGACCTTGACCAGCCCTTTCCAACCCGAAGAGATCTCCCCTTTCGCCTTGTCCGAGTAGAACTTCGTATTGGGCAGCAACACCAGTAGTTCCTTGCGCACCACCTTGAGAGCCAGCTCCCTCTTGATTTGGGCGGG